TTGTAACATGAACATTATATGATTTGAATCATTTGGTAGATTACACCCTTACAAACAAATGCAAAATATGCTACAACATAATTAAAATACAAAACAATGATGTCAAAGTCCTCTTGACCTTTAAAATCATAGGTCTAACTTATCTGGGACTTTGATTGTCCTGTTTGACCTTCTCAGTGGCTGTTGATTTGGTGACTCAAGATTCTGACCATCTGGACTCTCTAGCTCAGGAAGTCTAGGATCTAAATCATAAATTCCAGAATTTACATTTTCTGACTCTAGAATACTTGGTTCACTCATATCAACAGAACTTGGTTGTGGAACAAACTGAGTTGGTGTGAACTGTTCAGGTTTGGTGGGATTGATAGATTCACACTTATTATCTGCACAAGTTATTTTTAACTGGTCTGCATGTCTACGGACAATAAGTCCATTATTTGTTTTTACTTTATAAGACACAGGTCCTGTACATTGAACAATTTGACCTGGTATCCATTTTCCCCTCTCCCATAATTTCTCAGATACACATTATCATTAACTCCAAATTCTCTTTCAATGGATGTTTTGTCATGATTTAATTTTTGTGTATGTTGATGTTGGGAAACAGACCTTTGAACAGTTGGATGTAGTAGGTCAAGGTGAGTTTTAATTTTCCTACCACACAGCAATTCGTTGTTATATAAGGAGTTGTGCGGTATTTGGCTAAGAACCTGTTTACTCTTTCCCTGAGAGAAAATTTGTTACCGGTACTCATTTTTACCTTAGCGGTTTTGAATATGCCTACCGCTCTTTTAGCCAAACCATTCCCAGCAGGATGATAGGGTGATGTGGTTATATGCTCAATACCATTTGCTACACAAAACAGTTTAAACTCATGAGCAGTGAAACTAGGCCCATTATCTGAAACATTTTGATCAGGTAATCCATGGGTTGAAAATATTTCCTTAAGTTCAATAATGGTATCACTTGCAGTGATTGTGTTCATGATTTTAACTTCTAACCTTAACTCTATTTTTCTTATTTTATATGGCCTTAAAGTCATCATTCACCGACTCTTCAGGCCAACCATTCTTACAGTACTCATATACTTTTATCAAGCACTCATCTTTTTGTGTTTCTCTCTTAACATCATTCACATTTATATTGGAGTTATCCATGATAGTGAAAAGAACAAATACATCTTCTGGTACATAACTAAGGCTTTGGTTTTTTAAAGGTAAACGACTAAGACTATCTGCACTATTCTCAGATCCAGGTTTGTATTTCAATTCATAATTGTATGCGGCTAGTGTGATAGCCCATCTTTGAATCCTTGGTGAGGCATGCTCAGGCAGGGGTTTGTTTTCCCCAAACATACCCAGCAATGGCTTATGATCTGTAAAGATGGTGAACTCCCTACCAAACAGGAACTTGTGAAATTTCTTAACACGAAAAATGATGCCTAAGCCTTCCCTATCTAACTGAGAATAATTTTTCTCAGCCTGGTTCAAAGATCTACTGGCAAAAGCAATGGGTCTGTCACCATTTTCATCTATGTGGGATAAAACTGCTCCTACACCATCTGGTGAAGCATCACATGTTAAGATAAGTCTTTTCCCTGGGTCATAGTGAGTTAGTAAGGTGTCAGAAGACAAAGCTTCTTTAGCTGCATTAAAAGCAGCATCTTGTTGTTTACCCCAGTGTCAAGTTGCATTTTTCTGCAGCAGCTTGTACAGTGGTGATAGTTTACCAGACAGATTCCCTATGAACTTCGCATAGTAATTTTTCAAGCCCAAAAAAGCTCTTAGCTGTTGGGTATTTTAAGGTTTGGGTGCTTCTTTAATGGCTTTTGTTTTCTCAAGTTGAGGTCTGAGACCTTACTTGCTCAAAATATAACCAATAAAACTAATATCTGTCAGCATGAATTGACATTTATCTTTGTTTATCTTTAAACCCTTTTCACCATCTATTTTCAAGACTTTATCGAGTGTTTTAAGATGTTCAGTGTCATTCTTACCAGTTATGTATACATTGTCAAAGTAAACACAAACATTTGGAATGTCCTGAAAAATACTGTCCATGACAGTCTGGAAAATTCTAGGGCTAGATGATATACCAAAACATAGTCTTTCATATTGGTAGAGTCCCTTATGTGTGTTTATTGTCGTATAGACTTTTGAATCTGGATGCAGTTCTAGTTGAGTGTAAGCATGACTAAAGTCTAATTCAGTGAATTTGTCTCCTCCTGCCAAATTCAAAGAAATTTCCTCAATGTTAGGAATAGGGTACTTATTTAGCTCTATTTGCTTATTCAGTGTAGCTTTATAGTCTCCACAAATTCTTACAGAACCATCCTTCTTTAACACTGGCACAATGGGCGTTGCCCAATCGGAATAGTCTACCTTCTTTATGATGCCATTAGATTCCAATCTACTTAGCTCATTTTCAATTTTATCCCTCATTGCATAAGGTGGAACTCTAGCTTTGCAGTATCTTGGATTTGTGTCTTTAATGCTTATCT